CCCCCGTCCCTGGGATTCTCCAGGCAAGAACACTGGAGTGGGTTGCCATTTCCTTCTCCAATGCATGAAAGTGAAAAGTGAAAGTGAAGTTGCTCAGTCATGTCCGACTCTTAGCGACCCCATGGACTGCAGCCTACCAGGCTCCTCCATCCATGGGATTTTCCAGGCAAGAGTACTGGAGTGGGGTGCCATTGCCTTCTCTGGTAAAGTAATTAGCCTCCATTAAAATAAATATTAATTTAAAAAAGAAAAATCCTGATTCCACATACTATAATTATGATTATGATTTGGATGATATCTAAATTGTCTTCCAACTGTAAAATTGGGTGGCTTTATTATTTTAAAAAATTAGCTTTTTCCTATTTTTCAATAATTTTGTCCTTCATAAGTCTGACTTGAATAAAAACTGTATAAGCTATCAAGGAGTAATTAGGTGTTACTATCAGGTGAGGTGGCTAAAATATAAATATAAAATATTCATATATTATTCAAGTAAATTTTGTGTGTTGATTACCACTCTCACCTATTAATAAAAATAAAATTTTAAGTGTGTGGATTAAGTGGTAAACCATTAGTGAAGAAAACAACTGGAATTTACATTTAGTTCCATATTCTCCAATTCATTTGCATTTTTCAAATGCATATTTCAAGGCATTTGAAAATATACAACAGGCAATGGATCCAAGCCCGAGAATGGACGTGACCCATTCTAGCATATCTGGGAAGGCTTAGACAAGTCTTTTCACCTAAATCTCATTTCTTTTTACTTGTAAACTTGGGAATAATAAAACATACCCCACCAAGATTGAGATAATTATTTTTGGAGGTCTGAGATAATTTATGTAAAATTACTAGCACAGTACTTAACGCACTGTGTAATAGGTGGTTACAATGTCACATTAACTAGAAGATTATCTATGCAAGTATAGAATTCCAAAGGGCAAAATCAAGTTTAGACTCTATAAAGAGTCTGTCAGTAATACCAATAACTTAATTTGCTATTTTTAAATGAAATACAAATTACATAAATTCTAAATGTGGTATCATATATAATTAAGTCTTTATCTTTCTTTTTCTGTATGTAATATGTCTCAATTCAACTTAATGGGTGAATCAATCAATTAACAACACCCAGAATCTTCCACTGCAACTGAAGTTAAAGTCTCCTTATTTCTTCCAGCCACTGGAAAAGGACTGAAAAATTTGAGTCTGGAAAGCAAGACAACCAAAGTCCCAAAGAGCTAGAGTAGACTTTTGGAATACACCAGCATTATGGTGCTCTTCAAATTAAGGATGGATTTGGAACTAGCTGAAGAAAGGTAATCAACATCATCTCAAAGGAAAAGGTGGGCTTAAAAGCTGAAATATATGTAGCCTAATAAATCCCTCAGAATTACCAGGCTTGGAATAGTCAATAACAAGATGCCACAAAACACCTACAGCCACACAATCTGTGCATTCCAGAATATGAGTTGTGCTTAAGTAAAGAAGTGATTATTTCATATTTCTAAACATGAAAAATAGGGCACTGAATCCCAAATGAGTCCCCCAGATTAAACGGGATTCAAAAACCGTGATATAAATTGACTCTGTCTACACATTTTAAAGGGATCTCCTGGGGAAAACAAAACAAAACTGATTATTCACTACCAAATTAAAAAATAAAAAATCTGCACGGTCTTAGGTGTTCTTTGTTTCAATATTAAGAAGCAAATAAGGAGGAGTACAAAGTCAGAAACCTAAGGAAGGACAAGAACATTTCAATGGAAGGCTCTGAAGGGGGTTGGGGGATTTCACTGGTGGTCCAGTGATGAAGACTTCACCCTCCAATGCAGGGGTGGGTTCAATCCCTGGTCAGGGAGCTAAGATCCTATGTGCCTCTAGACCAAAACACCAAACCTTAAAACAGAAGCAATATTGCAACAAATTTAACAAAGACTTTAAAAATGGTCCACACCAAAATAAATAAATAAAAATTAAATGAGGTTTGTGTCAAGATTTAACATCTGCTTTGATATTATCATTCTAACACAAAAAATTCTCTTCCACATTAATCCTAACATCACCTTTAACCTATACCCTAGCTCTCTCCCAACTCTTTTATACTCCTGATGTAACATAAATTCCACTCTAGATGTGTTTGTTTCATTGTTCCACATTCTCTCAGTAGGATTTCATTCCATTGGAACCACCCTCACCAAGGACACCAGTGATCTCCAATTTGTTAATCTGTTGTCTTTCTAGCCTCACTTGACCTTTCTTGCTCTCCTCCCCCAAACAACCTGTTTCCTTTCCTTCTGTGATGGAGACACTATGGTTTTCTTCTATCCTATGTGGGTGTTCCTTCTCAGTCACCTGTATGGATTTTCCTCTTCTACTGTTGGCGGCTTACATGTTGGAGCTCTTCAAGCTTTTGCCCTAGGTTTTCTTGGTGTCAACTTCCATTTGCATGTACAACCTGGGGGATTTCATCCACTCCTGTGACATCAGTAATCTGCTGACTCCCTTATTCATCATTCCAGGCCATGGGCAAGTTTTGGATTTCAGGCCTAAAATCTAACCAACTATGAGACCTATCCACCATTGTGGATAGGACATAATCACCTAAAACTGAACACACCCAGACTTGACCTCTTTATCTTCCCCCTCCTTCACTCCGAGTCTTCCCCCTCAAATGTCTCCCTGCTCAATGGGTGGTACCTCCAAGGCAGTCAGTTGCGCAGGCAAGAAATCTGATGCTCCCCAAGTCCTTCTCCCTCACTACCCACAACCAGGCATCAGTCTTTTTCTTCTACTCCAAAATGTTTACAAAGTCTGCCAACTCCTCTCCAGCTCTACCAGCCCGACCCTAGGCCACCATAGTTATCCTTCAGAACTCCTCCTGCAGGCTCCTAACTGGTTTCATTGTCTCCACTAAGCTCTCTTTCTAATCATTTCCCTACACTGTAGCCACAATCATCTTTCCTAAAAGCACTCTCTAAATACACGCTTTCTGCTTAAAATCATCCAAACACTCTCCATAGCATAGTGGAGAAAACACAAACACCAGAACACAGCTGAAAGGATGCTTTCTGACCGAGTTCCTGCTGAATCCACCAGTCTCACTTCCAGCTCCTTCCTCTGCTCTCTCCCTTCACAAACCCACTGTGCTGAAAGGCTTCCATTCCTCAGAACTGCCTAATTTGCTAATCCCTCTGTGACTGGGTCTCTCCCTCATCTCTTCTGATCCTATTCATATTTAAGGCTTGAGCTTCTTGCATCCTCCAAGAAGCCCTATTTGATTTCACCCACCTAAATCTGACTCTGGGGGAGACTGAGGGCAGGAGAAGAAGGGGACAACAGAAGATCGAGATGGATGAGATGGTTGGATGGCATCACTGACTCAATGGACATGAGTTTGAGCAAATGCCCGGAGATAGTGAAGGACAGGGAAGCCTGGCATGCTGCAGTCCATGGGTGGCAAAGAATCAGACATGACTGAGCAACTGAACAACCACCACCTAAATCTAGATTAGGTGTTGATGTAATCCCCCCATAAACACTTGGAAGCACCCTGTGCTTCCCCATCACAGTAGTCCCTGCACTTAATCTCCAACAGATGTCATGGCCCCTGAGGGCAGTGACCGTGTTCTGTACCCACCAGTTAGCACTATGCCTGGTTCCTGTACTAAAGAGTATTTCAGAAAATACTCCCCTGGTAAATAACTCCTATGTAAATAACCAAATAATACTCCTATGTAAATACTCCTATGTAAATAACCAAATGTTCCAATTGATAAGATGTAGGGCAGGAATCTCCGTGTCTTCCAAACAAACATCGCAGAGAGAAGTCAGTCCTCAGACCTCTTCAGCTACCACCTTAATGATCAGCTAGCACCTTCTTAGCAAAAGACCATCCTATCTAGAAATAGAATAAGATAGTGCAGTATTGGTGCTTTCCACAGAGTGGATCTTCAGATATGTTTGAAAGGCAATGTCAGTTTGAAGCTTGATCAAAGGAAAGAAAGGAATAAAAGCATAAGACAGCATGGTCTCATCAGGCTGTTCTCCATTTTTTCTTTTGCATGTTTTTAAAATCATTTTTTAATGAGAAGAAAATTGCTTTACAATGCTGTGTTGGTTTCTGCCGGACAACAGGACCAGCCATGATTATCCATCTACCACCTCCCTCCATTCCCCGCATCCTACACTTTTAGGTCTGCTCTGCAATTTTTAAATCAGTGGGTCTCTTGACCCACCTCTTGCCAGACTTTATGGTGTGGCCCCGTTTGTAAACTGAGAGTTGTAGGGAGCTGAAGTGATCATCTTGTTTTTGATGGAGAACAATTTAGGAATAGGAATCCAGGTGTTAACTGCCTAACAGCAAAAT